TATGTTGATAGGCACCTGGAATGATTTGATAACTGGATACTGTGAATTGTATTACTATAAACATTGATATGTTTGTATCACTCTGTATGTTGATTTTAATTCTAGTGGATAAGGAGTGGAATTAAGAAGCAGTGGAATACCTGGGCCATCTGGAGGATCCATTCCTAGTTTTTGAGGAGCTCCATACTGTTTCCAAGTGGTTATACTAATTTGCTTCCCTACTAACGATATATAAGTGTATTCTTTGCCCAAATCCTCATCAGAATTTATTATTTGTATCTATAATCACTGTCATTCTAACTGGTGTGAGATGAAATCTCAGTGCAGTTTTCATTTACATTTCCCTGATTGACAGATATGTTGAATATATTTTCTTATATTCATTTGTAATTTGTATTTCTTCTTTTGAGAAGTGTTTATTGAGTTCACTTTCCCATTTGTTCATTGGATTTTTTTGTTGTTAAATTTTGGGGTTCCTTATGTATTCTAGATATTAATCCCCTGTCAAAGGCATAGCTGGCAGAGATTTTCTCCCATTCTCTAGGCTCTCTCTTCACACTCTTGTTTTCTATGTTGTGTAGAAGCTTTTCAGTTTGATGTTTTCTCACTTACTAATTCTTGGTTTGATTTCTTGAACTTTAGGAGGTCTTCTTAAAGAAGTCAGTGCTTGTGCAAATATGTTGGTGTGTTGACCCTATATTTTCTTCTCACAGTTGCAAATTTTCTGGTCTAATTCCTAGTTCTTTGTTGACTTTGAATTTACTTTTGTCCAGGGTGAGAGATAATGATCTAGTTTCATTCTCCTAGATATAGACATTCAGTTTTCCCAGCACCATTTGTTTAAAAGCTTGTCTTTTCTCCAACATATACTTTTCTCACCTTTGTTAAGTCTCAGATTACTGTATCTATGTGGATTTGCCCTGTGACTTTTATTCTATTTACTGGTCTTTAGGTCTGTTTTAATGGCAATACCATGCTGTTCTTGTTACTGTAGATTAGTAGTATAATTGGAGATCAAGTTTTATGATGCCTCCAACATCAGTCTTCTTGTTCAGTATTCTTTTGGCTATTCTAGGTATTTTTTGTTCTTCCTTATAAATTTTTCATTATGTTTCTCCATCAGTGAAGAATATCACAGTCATTGTGAGGGGAATTGCATTGGATCTGTTTAAGATTTTTGGTAATATGGCCATTTTGACAATATTAATTCTGCCTGTTCAAAGTATGGCTGGTCTATTGATCTTCTAAGATCCTCAATTTCTTTMTTGAGTGTTCTACAGTTTTTATTGTAGAGGTTTTCATCTCCATGTTAGATGTACCCCTAATATTTTTTAAGGCTATTGTGAATGGGATAGTTTCCCTGATTTATTTCTCAACTGATTGGAGTATAAGAAAGCTGTTATGTGTGTAGGTTCCATATCCTGCTACATTGCTAAMTTTGTTTATCAGCTCTAGAAGTTTTCGGGTGGAGTTTTCTCGTGTTCTACATATAGGATTCAGTCATCAACAAACAGAGGTAATTTGACTTAATTTTCTATTTGTATCCCTTTAATTTTTTCTCTTTTCTGTTTCTTCTGGCTAGAGATTAAAGAATTATATCAAATAGGAGTGATGAGAATGGACATGCTTCTTCCTGATTTGGGGGGAAATGCTTTCACTTTTTTCCCACTCAATATGATGCTGGCTTGGGTTTCTCATATATACTCTTTATGATGKTGATGTGAGTTCTTTCTAAGTCTAGTTTCTCCTGCATTTTTGACAGAAATAGGTGCTGGAATTTATGAAATACTTTTTTGAATCTATKGAGATGATCATGTGATTCTTGATCATGGTATATTATCTTCTTACTGTGTTCTTGAATATGGTTTCTTAATAGTTTATTAAGGATATTTAAGTATATTTTCATTTGAAATATTAATCTATAGTTTTCTTCCCTTGATGTGTCTTTGTCTGGTTTAGGTATCAGGGTGATACTGGTTTCATAGAATGAATTTGGAATTTTTATTTCATGGAATAATTTGAAGAAGATTGGCATTATTTCTTCTTTAAGGATCTGGTAGAACTCAGTTGAGAATCTCTGTGGTCCTRGGATTTTCTCTGTTGGATGACTTTCTCTGTTGATTGCTGCTTTAATCACATTGCTTGATATTGTTTTGTGTATATTTTCTATRGTCTCTTGGTTTAATTTAGGTAAGTCATATGTATCTGGAAATTTGTCAATATCTTCTCATTTTTACATTTTCAGTTGTTTGGAGTATTAATTTTCAAAATAGTTTCAAATGAACCTTCTGATTTTAGACATGTCTGTAGTGACAGATTTTTCATCCCTAATTTGTTGAGTTGGATTTTCTGCTTATGATTTTGTTAATTTGGCTAAAGTTTATCAATCCTGTTTATCTTTACTTTGTTGTATTGATAATTTTTATTGTTTTTTTAAATCTCAATTTAATCTGTGAAATTACTTCCTGTCTTTATATTAATATTGGGATAGTTTGTTCTTTCCTCTTTAGGACCTAGAGGTATAACATTAGATGATGATGATGATGATGATGATGATGATGATKATKATKATTATTATTATTTTGTATTTTGTAACACTTGCTTTGTATTCAAAATGTGGTGTCTTTACAAAGAAAGTGAGTTTGCTTGACAATGGCTGAAAATAGTTTATAGATGTCTGTTAGGTTCATTTTATTAGTAGCATTTTTTTTTTAGTTCTGAAGGGTCTTTACTCAGTTTCAGTTTGGATGATCTATCTGTTGAGAGAAGTGTATTGAAATCAACCAGTATTATTTTATTGGGATCTATTTGAATCTTTCTGTTGACTAGTGTTTGTTTTATATATGTAGGTGCACCATTGTTTTGAGACATAAATATTTACAATCATATATTTTGTTGGATGATTCTCTTAACCACTATGAAGTTACCTTCCTTGTTTCTTTTACTTAATTTTAATTTGAAGGCTACTTTGTCAGATATGAGAGTAGCTATTTCTGTTTGCTTTTGGTCTTTCCTCTCAGTCTGTGGATGTCTTTTTCTRTAAGGGGAATCTCTTAAAATAACTATGGTTGGGTCTTGTTATATTGAACTAAGACAATCTATGCCTTTTGATTGGAGCACCTAGACCATTTAAATTCAGTATTATTTTACAATAATGATTTTTATTTCCTGCCATTTTGATTTATTTCTAATATTAAATTCAGATTTGATTCTTCTTTAATTGACTCTTCTTCCAACGCAGTTCATCCCTTTGTTTGTTCTCGTTTTTTTTTTTTTTTTTTTTACCTTTCTTCTGGTCTGGGTGAAATATTTCACTGAGTATGTTTACTAGTGTTTAGTAGGGCTGACTTAGTGGTTATGAATTGTTATAATTTATATGAATCATAGTAGGTTTTCCTTTCATCTTCAGTTTAAAAAGATAGCTTTTCCAGACCCAACAATCTTGGTTGGCACCCACTAATTTTAAAGTTTGGTATATATTATTCCAGGTCCTCCTGCTTTTTCATTTATTTAAAGAGAATTTATAATTGCTCATTGGGGCCATTTTATTAGGACTGCCTTCTAATCATTTTAAAAGTAGTTCTCATGTGTTATACGTCTTAATGTTGGCATCAGTTGATTTCCTTTTCTGATTCTTATTGTGATTTTGATTATACTCTTAACATTTACTGAAGGGYACTCCTGATCTTATTTAAACATTCTCTTTTAGAAGGCAGCCTTATAGTTTAATTTAACGTGTAGTATGGCCTGATATTCCAAGGGCAATGTAGCTTTCTTGGGACTTGCCTGTGCTGAATCTCCTGATTCATCTGAAGTGATTAAACTATAAATTTATATGGTACTTTCCTGGGCCAAATGGTATTGATATGGGGGCATGGGTGATGAATACCTGTGGGATGAATAGCAATTGCTCTGGTTATCAGAGGAATGGGTGTCACGGTACTTCTTTCTATCTCTTCTTATGTCCCTTAGTAAGGAATTCTCCTGTCTGGCTGAACTTTTACTGTATGGTTATTAGAAAATATCTTACAGGGATCCTATCCTTTCTCTTGGAGCATGTTCAGGAAATGGTAAATTTGTATTGCTTTCTATTTCTGGGAAGTGATTTGGGACCTGCTTTCTCTTCTACTCTTTGTGAAGGGAGTTACAGGGGTCTGCTACTATTGCTTAACGTGAAGTAGGGTATTATATTGCTGTGTGCAGACAGTCAYTTCTAGTGATGTGCGTGGGTCCAGCATTTTGCTCTCATTGTGTGCTAAATAAAAATGGATTAGCTCACCTGGGCTCTATTGACTACCACAGAGGATAGATCTAGCTTGCCACTCTCCATGAGTAGAGGTAAGGGTATTGTGTAAATTAAAATAAACAAACAAACAAAAGTGGCCAGTGATGCCTGGGAGCTAATCGTATATAAACAGACTCATAAGAGACCAATGTGATGACCTGAAATTTTCACAGTATTGACTACTAAAAGAACAGAACTGACTCTAGAGATCACTAGAATTTAAAGGAAGGGAAAAAGGAATTCACTAAAGGAATGTTAGGGGAGAGATGGGAAAAGAATAAGATTTTGAAAGTCAATGGTAGGGAGAGCTTGAAGTAATGATCATCAGTGATTTCTCAAGCAAGATATTAARAAGAAATCAAAGTGAGGGAATGTCATTTACTAGGCTTTTAAGTAGCCCTGAAAAATTAATGGAATGTTTGCAGTTGATATTAGCTGTATTCTGTTAATTATAAGTTAGGAAGGATAAGAAAGTTGTTCACAAAATAATTAGAATTATAGCAAGAAATGTTTGAAGTAGGTTGATGATCCTGATGGTTTATAGGCAGAAGACAGTTTAAAGGATCAATTTGCACACCAAGAGTAAGGACACAGAATATCAGATGGCTGGTGTTATGATGATAGCTAAATCTGAGTGCTTGATGATATCTAGGGAGTAAGAATAAAACAGAGRACTTCATTTAGAAACCAATTATGAATATATCTTCCTTCTTAGGGTGATTGCTTTTATCAAGGAAATGTTGAAGATATTCCACAATCTGCTGTGACACTAAACGTCTGCTCAGGACTCAGGTAATGGCATAATCTGAAGGTGGACATTGATTGAGGTCTTTTGTCAACTCTTGATTTTTAGAATAGAGTGAGACAAAAGAATATAGTTTTTGATTGTGTTTCTTTTCATATACTTTGTTTCCTCCTCTTGTGCCTATCCTTTCTCATATTTGTCTTCTTTGTTTTGCCATCCTAAGAAAAAGCCCCTTACTAGCATGAAGAATTTTTATGTTTTTCTGCCATATTAGAACCACAACTCACTTTAAATGCTACAACAGAGGGAAGATCTGTATAAAACTGGTTTTGAAACTTAATTCAAGTGGGAGCTATTCTTGATATAAGATTACAGAGAAATGCAAATTAAAACCACTCTAAGATACCATCTCACTCCAATAAGAATGGCAGCCATTATGAAGTCAAACAACAATAAGTGCTGGCGAGGATGTGGGGAAAAAGGTACACACATACATTGCTGGTGGGACTGCAAATTGGTGCAGCCAATTTGGAAAGCAGTATGGAGATTCCTTGGAAAGCTGGGAATGGAACCACCACTTGACCCAGCTATTCCCCTTCTCGGACTATACCCAAAAGACCTAAAAAGAGCATACTACAGGGACACAGCCACATCAATGYTTATAGCAGCACAATTCACAATAGCTAGAATRTGGAACCAACCTAGATGYCCTTCAATAGATGAATGGATTAAAAAATGTGGCATTTATACACAATGGAATATTACTCAGCACTAAAAAGTAACAAGATCATGGCATTTGCAGGCAAATGGATGGCATTAGAGCAGATTATGCTAAGTGAAGTTAGCCAATCCCTAAAAAACAAATGCCAAATGTCTTCTCTGGTATAAGGGGGTGACTCAAAATGGGATAGGGAGGAAGAGCATGAGAAGAAGACTACCACTAAATAGGGAAGAGAGGTGGGAGGGAACAAGAGGGAGAAGGGGAGTTGCATGGAAGATGGAAGGAGAACCTCATTGTTATACAGAATACATATATGATGTTGTAATGAGAAAAAGAAAAAAAAGTGTATCACATTAGATTGGATAGAGAGAAAGGATGGGAGAGGAGGGGAGGAGTAGGAGGGATAGGAAGGTCAGCAGAATAGAATAGACAATATGATTGTATGTGCATTCCATGTATGTATCTGCTGTCATGTATGACTAAAAAAATAAAAATAAGTTGTATGGTAAAAAAAAAATGTTTCTTATGATATCAATGTATATTTTTCAATGGTAAATTTGAACTAATTAAACTTTCATTTCTTTTACTGTATTTGAATATTTAGGGGATTCTTGCTGTTAGAGAATGTCAGTTATGGAATTGAACCTTTGGAATCTTCAGCTGTATTTGAACATATGATTTACCAAATAAATAATGATCAAGTTGAATATCCCCCCTTAATAGAAGGTTACTCTAGGCCCCACTATATAAGTCAGCCTTACAGGATTCTTGTGAAAACAGACGTGAGTAACCCTTGTTATTATTATCTTCGTATATGTTATGTTTGTTAAAGTTGTTCACTTTGAAATTTTGAGATTTGATACATTTGGAAAACAGACTTAAAATGATAATTACAATATTAAAAACTTTTATTTTGGGGTCTTTTTCATAAAATGTTTTTGTTTATTCAGATAGAAAATACAACAGATAAAAACCCCAATGGCATGATTTTTATGSACAAACATAAGGTTTCTTTTTACTGCATATGTACACTAATAGTATAATGATTTCAAAAGGTATATGTTATTACTCTGGAACCATTATCTTTGTCAATTCAAAGTCTTTGTTTAAAAAAGTGTGTTATTTTGATAAAAAGTTTAAAAGTAGGATGGAGACAAGATAATTACTAACAATTGTCTCAAACCTCAATATCAAAAGAGTGCACTGTTAGAATTTGGGCAATTTGTTCTGATTGTTTTCATTTTTGCAATTATGAATGTAGATTTTTGAGTGTATAGACTTTTAAAATAATATAATATTCTAAATTTCTTTGAAATTTTCATCTTGCTAGATGATAATACTTTACTTTATTGAATTGTTACATTTATTATTTTAAAAATTAATATGGCTTAACTTATCTATCAATATACTAAAGAAAAAATTAAATGGAAATATACCAAAACACATTTTTAGAGCTAAATTATGTTGCTTCATGCACTATCATTTTGATGTAAATTGTTTTTCTTTTTCTGACATAATTATATATGTTGAAATTTAAATTTATTCATTTTATAACACTGTATTATTTATTTTTTAATACTTTTTAAACTTTTTTTTAATTTATTTTTTAGGTGTAGATGGACACAACACAATGCCTTTATTTTTATGTGGTGCTGAGGATCGAACCGGGGTCCTGGCCATGCTAGGCGAGTGCTCTACTGCTGAGCCACAATCCCAGCCCAACACTGTATTATTTTGAAGTCTTATTTTTCTGTTTAATCAATAATTAACTTTTGAAATGTACAAAGTTTTTGAACAATCAAACTCTTATAGATAATTACATTTAACAATATTATAACAATAACATATTTTAAAAATATTTTTGATGTACATCSTAACTTCTCTCTTTAGAATGATTTTATAACTTACATGTGGTTATCAGTGGAAAATATTTTCTTTCCACACATTGTCATCAACACTGCTTCACATTAAAGGAAAGTCAAACAAAATAACAATAAATGAAGCTTGAATTTAATATATGACATAGTCCATCTCTCTGTTTCCTTACTTTGCTTTTATTTATTTTGGCAGAGGTATTAATAAAAGGACAGGTCAAGAAAATTGACCTTTGAGAAACCCACAGACATTAGAATTAATAGGTAGAAATAAAGCATAATTTTTAGTGAAACTGAAAAATGACGTCCAACTTCACATTGGCCCTTTGGAAACACTCTTTGTGATGTGACACAAAATTGTACACAGTTGAAGGAAATATTCACCACTGAAACTGAGCCTTACACAGAAAGTAAATTGAAAAACTTTGAAGGATTCTATGGATACACATCTTCAGCAAGAGAAAAACACGAGAATTGATGTGTTAGGAAAGACAATTTAGAAACTGTTTGGAACCATCCTCCTCCAGTGAACCAGTAATAGAGAGGGACTGGAAGAGTCACAGATAACTTTCACCTCCATCTGCCTGAGTTTGAATTGCAAATCTGACATCACATGAATGTGGACAAGTCACATAATTATGTAAAAAGTGTTTATATTTTATCATTTATTAAAAATATAATAACAAAAATTAATTATATTAACTAGTAATATGCAATTATTACAATGTTTAAACAAGTTTAAATGTGGAAATTATTTTGCATAGGATGTGGAGAATAAAAGCAAACAATGAATGTTAATACTATAACTATTACTATTTTCTTACCACATTTTTTGATGTAGTGGAGCATATAATCAAGCAGTTATGAAAAGTTTGGGTAAGCAGTTATGAAAACTTATGAAAAGTTTCAAAGACAAAATGCAACAATGAATTAAAACAGAAACAAATAGTTCCAAATTTCAGAAACTATTAAGAAGTCCCTGCATAGATGTCATTACAGGAGTAGAGATAACTGGGTATTGGTACATATTTGTGAATTTCATATCTTTCATGGGGATCTCAATCATTGCTTTTCATTATCAATTTGATAGATTTAAATTATATATATATATATATATATATATATATATATATATATAAATCTATATGTGCAAAACTGCTTTATAGGGACAAATAACATAAAATCTATTTAGACATTTTCTTACATATGTGAAAGGACACCAATAAACATGGAGTTGAAAACAGAACCAGTGGTCAAACGAAATATGATAAAGAGCTTTAAAACCTGAACACATCTGTTTATCCCTGCTCCTGCCTTAAACCCCAATAAAAAGGCATCAACATGCAGAGACAAGCAGTATAGGAGAAGAGTAACAGCAGTAGAACTTGAATAGAAGAGAGACAACAGCTGATTTAGCCTCTCCAAAATTGATCTTATCCTAGAAATGAAGACAAGCTAGCAAATTCTAAACTGGAGGACAGTTATTTATATTGCAGAAACATACAACAAATTTCTGGGATTGTCTAGTTAAATTCATTAGTTAGTGGATATGAAGGTATCTTCAGAGGGAATTTGGGCGAAAATTTAGAAAAGCCATCTTCTCCTAAGCAACTGCATTTTATAGACAGATGGAAAGCAAACTTTTGGGAGTGTTTGAGGTCATGATGCCAGACACAGATGTTCTGCCATCTCTCACAATTAAGATGAAAAAAAAAAAAAAACCACTGAACCTACTATGGTTAAATTAAATGTGTGGCGCATGGGGTAATGAGAACCAGGCTTTGATATTCTTCTAAGGAGTTATATTGGAAGATGATTCTAACTAACCAAAGAAAATACCTAGCCATATTGATAGCAAAGCTGTTTTTTTAAAATCAAAGACAAAATAAAAAATAAATTACTCTCTGTGAGGATTCCATCCCATAAAACACTACAAAATCACAGAAGTTAGAATAAGGTATTACTGTTAGATTCTTAATATGGAAGGATTGGATAAAATGAGGAAGAACACCATTATTCTCTTTGTTCACATTGTTAATATTTAATTCCATAATCACTAGTGCTCTCTCCACTTGATTTTATTCAGTCACAGAATGATAACAGTGTAATATGAAAGACAGAAACATGGCCAAAATATAGTTAAATTTTGAAGTAACAAAGAGTATAGAGGATGAGGACAAAAAATTACTATTAGTATCCTTTGAGAGGTGTGAGAAAGTATTGATCCACCAAATCAAAATCAGGCATTATTAAAAATAAAATTTAGCAGATTCACAAAAGTTATTGTAAACTTAATAAATGAAATAGAACCAAAGATCATTGGTTAATGGATTTTTTACAATGTTGCTAAGGATTTTCAAAGACTAATCAATTCTTAAGAAATGGTGAGAGAGTATTGGATGTCCATACAGAATGACATGAGTTCTGAACTTTATACAAAAATTGAATTCACTGTAGACTTAATGGCCAAAGCTAAATGAAATTTTTAGTAGGAAATTCAGTAGAAACCAAGTTAATGAACTGCAAATGTGTGAAAAGAGATATTCAACACTATCAAGCACCTGAGAAATTCACATCAAACCTCAAAGAGATATTAATACAGAACAGCAGGATTGGATAAAATGAGGAAGATAAAGTACCAAACCTAGAGAAGGATGTAGAACARTTGGGACTATATTAATTCTTAGTGAGAATGCATAATGATCAACTTACTTTGGAAAGTCACTTGTCTCTTTCATACAATTTTACATACCCACAATTTCTATATAAGTAATCCAAGCAACCATCATCAGTCTTGTGTCTAAATGAATTGTGATATACCTTTACAATGACAACAAATCTGTTGAACTACTAATAATGCCAAGGATTCGAAGGAATGCTGACTGTCACAAGCCAAGATTACATACCAAATGAGGCTACTTACATAAATTCTGGAATAGATTATTCTAATCTGTGGTATGAGAAAGCTATTTACATGGAAGAACATGATGGAAAGATTCTTTTAATTATGGCAATGGTTATGTGAGTGGATAACATTAGTTATAAATCATAACTGTATCCATAAATGGATGTATTTTATTGATAAAGTTAATAAAGTCAAAGTACAAAGAACAAGAAAATACAGATCAGGTTTAGACAAGTGCTGATGGAAATTTATTTKGAAGATGGTGATGTGGGAGTTTTCTGCAAGGCACATGGGAATGCTTTGAGAGGAAGAAACCATGGATTGCCATCTCATTTCAGTGATTTTTTTTTTTGAAGATTCTAATTGGCAAGAATATAAAGTGGAATGCTGTTGACTTGTTTCTAAGATCTTCATTTGGATTCTTACCTTTTAAATGATCACCCATACTCTTAATTTCATATAACACATCTGTATCCATGTATCTAATGTGTTTTGTATCTAATGTGTTTCTGTGAATGTACAGAATACACATATATACATGTCTATAGCATATGCTAATTACATGTAAGAATTTTTTAAATGTTTTATTTCACTCTTGTCCTCTATTTCACAGAAAACTTCAGAGATAACATTGAAAACAACACTGAAAATACAAATCATAATAGATAAAGCAATGGTAGGTATTATTGATATATTTTATTAGATTTTTGCTTTGTATTGGAATTAAGGGGAATATGTTTAAGAAACTTTTGATTTTTTACAATAGGGATATATTTTATTCTATTCAAAATATGTGCTTCAGCACATATTTTAGGGCATAAAGAAACATTGTACATTGCCTTTACACTGAAATAAAGCGACCAAGTTTTATGTGTTGTCCTTCAAAACAGTATAGAATTATAGAAATAATGTAGCACTTTGTATGGAAGGGCTCTACTATACTATAGCCTACTGAGTTATAATTAACTGTGGATTCTTCTAGGTGCACTCCAATATTTAATGAAATTCTTTCCTAAATCTCTTTCCATATAAGCTATTTGATTAAATGCTAAATTGGAGAAACTTTTTAAAAATAAAACTTTCTTAAAATATTACTTTGTTTAATAATTGGTTCTTTCTCAGAACTTCTATTTTAATTGTTTCTAATTGTTGTTTAAAGAAATTAAAAGAAATTTCATGTTTCTACTCTTACTCATAATTTCCAAGGTTTTCATTCCTTCTAATAGGTGTGCATGACTGATATTTCTTTTATCGTCCTGAATTCTCTCCATTGTTTGTTCTTGTGAAATTGTTACTTTCATCCTTTTTAAACTTTTTATCTGGAAATAATTTCAAGCTTTCAGGAAATTTGTAGGGATATGAATATTATATAGACCACCATTATTCTCTTTGTTTACATTGTTAATATTTAATGCCATGATCACTAGTGCTCTCTCCACTTGATTTTAAAATGCAAGTTGTAAAGCATATCATGAAGCATAACTCTGAAGTACTTTATTGGGTGCTTACTTTGCGTTTGAAGAGCATTGTGTCATATAATCACAACAGTGTTAGTCCTTTCAATTAAAGTAGCATTGCTAAAATGCTTTGTGAAGTCCAATGTAATTTACTGTCATCAAATTAAGATAATACTATCTAAGAATGCTCTGAATTTGGTGTCAACATACCTTATATACAATCAGAGATATGATAAATTGTGGTTTAAAGGTGTATTAAGAATCATATTGCAAATAATAATAATAATAATAATAATGTTCATGTATAATGGCATAATTTGGAGTGAACAGACTTTATATACAGAGTTACAAAAAATGGTGTTGTGAATGGATAATTATGATTGTAATGCATTCCACTACTGTCATGTATGTAAGAAATAAAAAAAAGTTAAAAAAATAAACAAGTAAAAAAAAAGTACTTTTTATATCTTACTATAGGTCAGTTTATATAAGACAGTTATCTATAGCCTTTCATTGTTAACATAAGTTTGTACATAAATACATAAAAACCATACCATATATATTAATAATATTAATATATTATTAATAATTATGTTATCAATATTACATGTAATACCAATATATAATAGCCAGTGTTTGCATGAATGTTTCAAGTCTTACATAATCTTACTGTTAATTTATCTGCTCTATCAGTATTAAGAGAATCATATAAAAATATCTCATGACACATGTCAATTTCTATTTTTAATTCAGTTAAATATTCTTTAATGTGTTTTGTGGTAATATTAGTTACAATCAAGTTTAGAATGTTTCCATCTCCCCGAGCTGAATATTTTATCAATAGGTTGTGATAATAATATACATTTTTCTCCTTTATCTTTACCTTTATATTTATTAACATAATAATATATTTCTCACATAACATGTGCTTTGTGCCTAGTATTATCCTGGTACTAGAAGATATATTTTTATCCTTTGACTCTTCATATTCCCAAAGTTCTCTTATATTTTAGAGTTCTTTATTTAAACTCCCATATATTCCATTTTTATTTTCTTTGCAATGGAGTGTGTTCTCTGTTACTTTTTGATTATTTATATATTTGAATTCATTTRCACAATCATACTCCATTTTGATTTTCATATGAGGCACGTTCACTCAAACCTCACATTCTTTCTTACGTACATGTATAATATAGTTCATTGCGGAAGGTTACTGGCTAAGACAGGAACACAGTGTGAAAAACATTTCTAGAGTTCTCTAAAGAAGGATGCCATTTCTTTTGTCTGTATTGTAAATGTACTTTTTTTTAGTTATTTTTCATCACTGTGACCAAAATCCTCAGGAAAAATAATATAGAATTGGAAAAGTGTATTGGGGGCTGACAGTTTCAGAGGTCTCAGTCCATAGATAGACAACTCCACAGATTTTGGCCCAAGATAAGGCAGAACTTTGTGGTGGAAGGGCATGGCTGAGGAGTGCTGCTCCATTCACAGTAGCCAGGAAGCATAGAGAGAAAGGGGAAGGGACCACGGGGAAGATGCACCCTTCCAGGGCACAGCCCTGGTGACCCATGGCCAACACTAGCACCCAGATAGTCGACTCATAAAGTATGAATTTGTAAGATTACAGCTCTCACAATTTAATCGTGTACCTCTGAATATTCCTGTAGAAACACAGGAGCTTTGCAGGGGGATGCACCTCAAATCCAAACCATAGCAGTACTCTGTGCACTACATTTTATTTTTGTTAGGAGACTTCAATCTTGTTGGGAATCAGTGAGAACTCTAAGATGCCTATTTTTATGTTTCCATCAAACATTTAGAAATGTGTGTATGTACACAATTAGAAATAACATTTTCAGAGATAACATTATGATTTTTGTCACCTTAAAAGAAGATATGTTCTTGAAATTGTTCACTATTATGGTATTCATGGCTTTGTGTTTAGAAAGTACATTGTTTATCCAGGATATATATTCAATTTGTTTAATCGGAATGAAGACAAATGATGGCAGCATATGATGGCAAATTAGATTTAGTTGTTTACTAAGTTTCAGATTTGATTCCTTTTTTAAAAATCTTTATTGGCTATGCACTCTTGGAACCTTAATGCACCAATCCTTAATATGTGTATCTGCAATGAGAAGATTATCACAGCTATCTTAATTTAATATTCTGAATTGTTCTTTAAAGTCTCTAGGCTTATGTCTAATGCACAGTAAGCTTTTGATAAAACTTAATTCTACTTTTGCTCTTTCATTGGAGCACTTCATTATTTTAACTTTATATTAATAATTAAGAAACAAAACTGTTTTTCAGTTTGAATATATGGACTCTGACATAGATGTGGCAGCTGAGAAAGTGATCCATATCATTGGTCTTATCAATACGGTAAGTACTTGTCCTTCACATTTAACTAAGAAAAAATTCATATTAATGCATTAGCATTGCTTTTTTTTAAGTGTACTCATGCCAACTTAGTTTCACTCAGGAGTGGATTTGTCTCACAAAATAGTAAATTGAATATATTTGCACTGTGTATCAAAATGGATCCATTCTGTCACGGGACATTTAGTGTATTTCTCTATGGTTAACCCAAATTGCACACCTGTATCTTCTCTTTACAGATGTTTTCCCGGCTTAAAATGACTGTTATGCTATCTTCTTTAGAGATCTGGTCAGATCAAAATAAGATTTCAACTAATGGGAGTGCTGATGAAGTATTACAAAGATTTTTGTCATGGAAACAAACATATTTGTCTTCAAGGTCCAATAATATGGCATACTTATTAATGTAAGTACTTCATTCATATTGATAGAGGGGTTTTCAATATTTTGATGAGTTGACTATCAAAAAAGTTTTATGCATAATGTTAAAACATTTTAAAATTTGGGATAGTACTGTGTTGGCAAAATTAGAACATGAAAATCTGATAACCATGTAAGACACAAATCTTATTAAGTTGTTGTTCCCATACTGGATCAGTAATTTATGGGAATTGAAGCTGGAACTTGGAAAGCATTAGGATAAACATGAGGCCTCAACGACTGTAAAGATCCTCTAACAGGTAGTCCAAACTATCATTTTAACATAAAGTGTAAATTAGTTCATAGAGTATAATAGTTGCTTATAATGCTGATGATAGTAGCAAATATTTAAATAGTAAATAACTGAAATTGCCCTCTCCACCTTCCCTATGGTACAAGTAATTCTGTACTGACCTAAGCTGTACCTATTTATCTGTTGGACTAAARTGTGAGGACACTTTGTACAAGCTATGTTCATTTTTCTGGGTACATCTCTTAGTTCTCTCTCCTCCTCACCTCCTCTAGTCCAATACTTTATCCATACTTTTAGGGTTTGTTTACTATGTGAAAATCACAATACTTTATTTCAGATTTTAGAACACACCCAGTGTTGACAACAGTGAACTTTGTTGTCATGGAAGGATTAGGTACTGCTAAGTTTTGTGCTGTGTACCAGATGATGTTAAACAGCTTTTCGAACTTAACTTCATATGAATGTGGGACGAAACCCCCAGTAAATTATTGACAGTGTAAAACATAACATGTATATTATGATATTTATGTTTTAAAGAAAGCATAGCTTTAGTGAGGAGTGCAGTTTGTCAAATGTCATTAGAAATATTCTGAAATGCATGGATTCATGAGCAAAACCTTTTTCACTTAGTTATAAGGACCATCCTAATTTTGTGGGAGCAACGTACCATGGAATGGCTTGTGATCCAAAGTTTTCTGCTGGAATCCTTCTGGTATGCATTTTGTTCTCATCTTTTCAGTAATAATATCAGGCTTAGAAAGCTCATGCCCACTTCAATAAAAAAGTATATGTGATTTACATTTACTCACATATCTTTACGAGATTATATTTTCAGCCTTTGAATCTCAAATATTGTAATCATTGAAGTGTTTGCTACTGTGGTGAAAACTCATACAATTTGCAGTTTTAACCATTTTGAGTGTACAGTTCAGGAGTGCTAAACATATTTACATTGTTGTCAAATCTCCAGAATTTCATCTTGCAAAACTGAAGGTCTGTATTAAATAACAACTCCTCTTTTGTACCTGATAACAATCAATGAACTCAAGCACTAATTATAATGTTCTAATAAAAAAAGAAGGGGGACAATCTCATGAAAATAGAAGTGATATTAGTAAAGAAGAAGTAGTGGATCAAGGGGGAAGGAGAAAGGGAAGAAAAGAGGAAGAACTGATAAAAATCAGCCAAATTATGCTGCATACATGTATGTATATACCACAATGAATCCCACTTTTATTTGTAATAACAGTGTATCAATGAATAAAAGTATTTTATTATTTTTGATTCYTTCATAACTGGAATTATTAATTTCTTTTTGAATTATCATTAGTATATAGAAACATCATATTTTTATGTCCTGAATTTTTGTTCAATTTGCTTACTAAACAGTTTCTTTCTTGTGGACTCTTTAGACTTTCTAACTTGTAAAATCATGTAGACCACAAACCATCCCAGTTCATCACATTGCATTCTCCTTTCTAGATGCCGTCAAATTCTGTTTGCTGGTCTTTTTTGGTGGTATTTTTATCAATATTTCAAGCAAATATTGTTTATTTGAAATTTCTCCTATTGCATTTTTATTCGTTGGTTAGTTTATGTCTGTTTTAAACTTTTACTTTCTCTTTCCTTTTKTCTGAGTTTCTTGAGGTATAAAGTTGGATTGTTTATTTTAGATCTCCTTATTTTGTAGTGTATGCACTTCTGGCTATAAGCTGTTTTTAAAGACTGTAAAAGTATCTTGAATTTTTCTTTTCATCTTCCTTTGTCTTAAGGTATATTCTAATTTCCTTTGTGCATTCTTCTTTGACTTATTTGTTAAAAGCCGGTTTTAAAATTCCTACATGTTTATCAGTAATCAAGGTTTCCTTCTCTCCTTGATTTCTAGTTAGGTTCAGTTGAAATTAGAAAAGATACTCTGCATGACTATATATTTTTAAAAAATTTTTTTAGCGGTCTATTCAGGAGAATGTTCTAAATATACTTGAGAATATTATGTATCTTAATTGGCTGGGTAGAGTATTCTGTATACTGTTATACCAACTGGTATATCTTATTGTTCAATTTATATATTTAAGTATCAGMTGCCTTGGTTATTCTGTCCCTTATCAAAAGTCAAGTACTGAAGTTTCCCATTCTTATTGTGTTGCTGTGAAGTTCTCCTTTCAATATTTTTCAGATATTCCTAATACTTTTAGGTATTCTGATATTTGGTGAATTTGCACTTTAATGTGAACGTAATACCCTTCTTTTTCTCTTGTAACAGTTTTGAACCATTTCTGTTATAACTACCCTTCTCTTACTTTGGTTATTATTTGCTGAAACAATTACTTTTTTTCYTTTCTTTTCCAGCCAATTTGTATTCTTAGATTTTCAAGTGATTCTTTCCAAGGCAGTGTATAGTTAGATCCTTCTTTTTTAAACCACTTCAATCATGTCTGTCTTAATTTGGGATTATAGTCCACTTACATTTATAATAATTACTGATAAGGAACAACTTATTGTTGATATTTTGTTTTCTCTGTTGATTATTTTATGTATATGTATATGTTACTGAATATCTTCTAGATGTTGTCCCTCCTTTCTCTCTCATTAACTTCTTTGTGTTTTATTGATATTTTATGATATGCTTTGATTCTCTGATCTTTTCCTTGTGTATATATTTTATAGAATTTATTTTGATTACCATTGAAATTTCAGAAACTATCTTAACAATTTTAATCTAAGCTAATAAAACTTAATGTCAAATTACAATACACAAATTCTACTCTTTATAGATTTATAGTCCACTTAATGTTATTTATGTCTCAAAATAGATACGTTTGTATTGAATACTCACTACATACAACTCCATTTTTTTTTCTTAATTTTTGTTCTTTGAATTGTATGTAACCTATAAAAATAAGTTCAGGCATTGCAATCCCAGTGACTTGGGAGGCTGAGGTAAGATAACTKCAAGTTCAAGTCCAGCCTAAGCAACTTAGTGAGAGCCTGTCTGAAAATAAAAATAAAAGAATCTTGGGTATATATCTCAGTGGTAAAGCATCTTTGGTTCAATCCCTGGTACCAAAAAAAAAAGTGAATTCACACACCAAAATTATGATAATTTTTCTTTGTGTTTATCTTTCTGAGACAACTCAATAATTTTCACAAGTCTTGATTTTTTCTTGATTTTTGCACTTTCTTTTTAACCTGAAGAAATCGTTTAGAATTCTTGTAGATTAGGTTTATTGACAATGTACTTTTGTGACAATGTACTTTTGTATTTCTGAAAAAAATATTTTTCATTATTTACATATGACACTTTTGTTTTCACAAATATATTTTTGGTTGAGTTTCTTTCATTTATTACTTTTACTGTATCTCTCAACTCCTACTGGCCTACAAGTCTTCTCCAGCAAAATTCACCAATAACATTATGAGAGCCCCTTTCTATTGCAGTCACTATTGCATTGATGCATTCAAGTCACTATTGCATTGATGCATTCAAGATTTGTCCATGGCTTTGGACTTATGACCGTTTGATTATACTATACCTCCTTGAGGTTCTCATGAAATAAGTCCTACTTGGATTTATTAACTTTCTTGATTCCAGTTTTATTAGTTACCAGATTTTCTGTCCATTATTCCCTCATACTTGCTCTTTGTCTCTTTTTTATTAACTTTCTTGATTCCAGCTTTCTTAGTTAACAAATTTTTTGTCCATTATTCCCTCATACATGCTCTTTGTCTCTTTCTCTCTTCTCCTTGTAAGACATATATTACTCTGCTTGATAGTCATAGGACTAGGAACTTTTAAATTTATTTCACTGTTTTCTTTTTTCATTTTGTGCTTCTGACATGATGATTTCATTTTCACTCATTCTTATGTCTAATCAATTGTGCTTTTGAACTGCTCTGGTAAATATTTCAGTTCATTTGTTGCAATGTTTGACTCTACAATTTTCTGTTGATTTTTCATTTTTTTTAGTTTCTATAGCCTTGTTTATATATATATATATATTTTTTTTTTGAGAGAGAGAGAGAGAAAATTTTTACAGATATTAAGCTGGTTCCTCAGTAAAAAGACAATTAGCTTAATTACTCATTTTAATAGGCTAAGTAAGAAAGCAAATCAAACAAATCAAAATCCAACAGTTAATTTCATGCTTATGTTTAGAAAATAATGCTTTACTGCTAAGATCAGGAACGAGGCAATAAAGAAGCCCACCACTCCTACTCAACATCATATTGGAATCCTTCTGGATTATTATTCATGGTTTAAGAAAATGAGTCATTAAACCATGAAAGACATAGATTGATTTTAACAGTGCTTAAAAAAAGAGCCAAAAATTAATGGGCTATATATATATTTATAATATTTATAAAACCTGTATAACATAGTATAATAGAAAAAAACCATTGAGACAGTAAAAAGATCACTCATTGCTAGGGCTTTAAAGGAATACCATTTGAAAAATATTATGTTCTTCTGCTTTAAAAAAATAATTTAAATATTTTCTCAAACTATTTATAAAATCATATTTGATTATCCATTTAACTCTTCGTAATCTGTGAAGTTTTTCCAATGTTGTTTTCATAAATACAGTACTTAAATCACTCTTAACAAAATGTTTTTTGATGTTTTAAATCTTATATTATTATGATGTTCATCTTATTTTAATATATTTTGCTGCCATTTGGGCTAAAATATTTTTACACCAAAAGAATATCAAAATTTACCAAAGTCTTTCATGTTCTATATTACTAAGAAAATAGCTTTAGTAGAGTAGTTTCTCAAATTTGATTTTACATTCATGGCAATGGCACAAAAAGTTGACAAATCTAAGAGATAGAGAAAAACTTAAGCAATTATTTCTGCTCTTGTTGTCTATTTAGCACCCCAGGACAATATCCTTAGAGGCATTTTCAGTTGTTCTGGCACAGCTAATTGGAATTAACCTGGGATTAGCTTATGATGATGTCTACAATTGTTACTGTCCAGAAAGTACATGCATAATGAATCCCGGAGCAATGTAAGATGTTTTTGATATCAAATTTATATCAACTTTTGGGAAGTAATTGTAGTATTCCTCAATATGTAATTTCTCACAATACAATGAATAAGAATGTTTTTATTAAATATATACATGCTTATTTAAAATATATGAAAGAGAGTGAGTACAGGACTTTATAGAAAATGTGATAAATAGTTCCTTATTCAATGACTGTGTAGAGATGAAGTAGATATTAATGAGGTCATTCTGGGTTTTGTAATTATTGATATACTTTTCAAAGTGAGCAAATATAATAATACTTTAACAGTCACAAGCTTGACTGTAAACAGAACTAGAATAATGATGCTTGGTGAGGTGTTGGAACAGGTTAAACAGAAATAAAGAAAGCAGAAATGGTTGGGGATATAATGAAGGGTGTTTTAGGCAGAGGGAAAAGAAAGTGATATAGGAAGCCAAAGAATCATGAGTCAAGGAATGAAGCCCAGGAAATTAGATAGGAAATGTAGGAAAGCAGTTGACAATGGAATCATGAAGAAAGAGAGAGATGGACTTTTATAATAAATGTAACAAAACACAATTTAATCAATTTATTCTGTATAGATAATAAAAATTATCCTGTAAAATATATCAGAGGGAGCGAAAATAAGGTAGCATGTGGGAGATGATGATTCTTATAAAAATCCACAGAAATGTACCAAGATTGAGTGGAAGGGAGATTTTAAGAATTATTCGTAAGTGTTGAATACTATAATTATTAATAAATATTGAGCAAAGGGCAATGCTTTAAGAAAGAAGAAAGTGGGGAGAAATTTTTAGGGCTGTTTCTGTTTGTTAATTCTGAGTTATTCTGAATCATCCATTGAAATTGTCTAACACAGGGTTTTATAGGTCTGGATATTGGAGGATAGGAGTTCTAAAGTACAAATCATCAGTAGATGGAAGAGAATTAAAATCATGAACTCATAATTTTGAAAAAAGTTGTAGAGTGAAATTAGGTACCATAAGATAAAGTTTTCAGTCATTCTCATGTATACAGGTACCTGAGGGAAAAGCAATAACATGAGATGGTTGAAAACATTTTAGGACAAGAACCCAAATAAGATGGAGTGTTACACAGGGAGGAATGTGTTCTTGAACCCCAAATGCTAAAAGTATCCACTAGGCATGTTAGTCACCCAAAGGCCTTCTTTAAAATAGAAAATTAGGACAAATACAAAAGCAAGTACTGCAAGATTCCCTCACTGGAATGCAACAAAACTATTATGTAGGACTAACCCATTGGTAAAATAATATCTGCATGAAGTAAGTAGCTGTGTGGGAGAAAGTAGAAGGAACATAGCGGGCCCTCTAAAATCTTACAGATCTGGAAACTAAGAATTGTTGGCTAATCCACATCCCAAAACATTATTGCCCCTGCTGGCATCGAAATATCACTATGTTCATGGCCACACAGGGACAAAATGAGTTGTGAACATTTCTTAATATGCAGGCACGTTCTAAGTATCGAATAACAATACAAGTATGTATTGCCCATTCATGGTTTTTAAATGCTCTTCTCTACCAAAAGTAGAATATCAGAGAAATAGTTGATTTCAAGGCTAAGGCAGAGAAAATAAAAATAAACCTGTGATATGCTGCATCTGAAAATAAGGACAGACCCGAATATTTGTGGAAATACATTCTGTAATAAAAGCAACAGATCAAAATGACTTTTATCACTAGTAGAGCTAATTGAAACCATGTGCCACTGTTTATTTGACAATGAAACAAACACTGCAACTCTCACAAAGTAATGTGGCCAAGATGAATAATTTAAGTCTAATCACAAGGATATATTTCATAAACCTAAATTGATAGACATTGGTTAAAATAATTAACCTTTAATTATAAACCTTTTCAAGGTCACAAATGCTAACAAAGCATATGCAACTAAGAAGATGTGAGTGCTAAATGCAGTGCTTCCTTGTGAACTGGGTCGTAATGTTATTGATATGTGAAATTATTTGAGTGGATGCACAGGATTAGGTATTAATAATGATTTTTATTTCCTGATTTTGAAGGTCCTGGTGTTGTTACAAAGAACTCAATTGTATGAAAGAATTAAAGTACTTAGAATTATCAGGACTCAGTGCTGGTATCTATTAATGTTTCAGCAAGCAAAATCTGTTTTGGACCAGTGTTTGAGCTTGCCATAAAAATTAAACATAAAGGTCACTAAACAGTACACGTAAATACATAGAAATACTGTTGCTGGGCTTGGTGACCTGGGCCTATAGTCTCAGCACTTTTGAAACTGAGACAGGAGAATCCCTTGAGGCCAGGAGTTGGAGACCAATCTGGGTAGCATAGTGAGACCCTGTTTTTCTCCAAAAAATGAATAGAGGGATTGTACATTACATATTCCTCAGTGTTGAAAAACTATGTTTAATTCTGTTACTATAAAACAACTAGCCATGATTTTTCTATAACTTGACAAATCATCCTTTACTCCTCTTAAAATTTCAGCCTAAGTTCCTGGGTTTGTTCCATATTCTTAATGGCCATTTGAAATTTTTGTAATAGAAATGATGCTGAAAACATAGAATATACTCTTAATAGAATTTACGTGCAAATCATTTTGAGTGTTTTGTCATTTTAACTTCCTCTATTCTCTGTATGTCTATTATAAAGAATTACAAAGGAAGTAAAATCATTGCTTTTGTTTATGACCTGTGTTAAGAAATAAAGATGATCTCCTCTCCTTTGGCTCTTTACCAGAACTCATAACACTTTTTGAAGAATGTTACCTTGATATTGACTTTATTCTATTTATCTGAGGAATATAATTTAATTTTAGACAGTCCCAAGGTGTAAAGGTTTTTAGCCGTTGCAGCACAGACGTATTTAAGCAGATAATTTCACAACCTCAATTTGGATGTCTAAGGAAAAAAAAACTTCTTTCACAATTGACTGCCAAACAAAGCCCACCTGCTTGTGGAAATGGAGTTGTGGAAATCGGAGAGGACTGTGATTGTGGCAAGCCGGAGGTCAGTGATAAACTTTCATAACATAGCCTAATATTTGTTCTTGTGTTCCTTATTTAGCCTTGTAGAAAGAGAAAGAAGACTTGTTTCTTTAAGTTATGGTACCATTTTATTACATAGTTTTGATGGGGAGATATGTGACATGCAATGACTGACATATTCTGAATTGGATGCATTTGATGAACTTAAAAAAAACTTATTTACAGATCAGCATGGCATGGATAAAACAGATTTTTTTTTTCTATTTTACAACCAATAGCTGTATCAGTTTTCTGAACTGGCATCAGTAATCTAATGTAATCATCTCTTAAATCATATCCACATTCCTCCAAATTGACTACATTTATTTTGTTATTCATCTCCTGATCTCCCAATTCCAGTCATTGACTCTGGTTTTCCAGAATTCAGTTATTTCCATTGGATTATTTGACTTTTTTGACACCTAATAATCCATTATGTGAATAATATAGGATTATAGACTTCCTGTTTTCAAGTATTTAGTGAGTTTTGTAGATTTTTTTCTGATACTAATTAGGTTTTTAAATTTGTTTTTCTATACGTCTTGAACTTAATTCTTGTTGTACTTAAGCGTCTCAAGTCTACATATCTAGATATGGAAATTTTGGGTTATCAGGTAGGTGAATAATGACTGGGAAAAGGCAAATTTATTTCAAATGTGGCATGCTAATTTATACTTTCAATGGCTGTTTACACTAGGATCCATACAATTTTTTAATAGTGAATCAACACTTGCAATTGCCAGACAATTTTATGTTTAAAAAATATTTCAAGGGCTTGGGTGTGGCTCAGTGGTACAGAGCTTGCCTAGCATGTGTAAGGCACTGAGTTTGATTCTCAGCACTGCATAACTAAAAAATATTTTTAAAAAATATTTCAATGTGGTTTAAATAGAACTTTTCTTAGTAATAGTAAAATTGATTATAAACTTACTAGCCATGTAAGTTTTCTTTGCTGTGAAGTGTCTACTTTTTGTACTTTGGTTTAGATGCACTTGATTTCTACACTGCAAACCACTAATCTTTTCTTAATGAGAACTAGTGGATTTTTATTTAAATAATTTAAATGTTCAAGTATTTTTCTTGACTTAAAATTCCATGTGATTCCTTTAAAAAAATCTTACTTTACTGGAAGAAAAATGTTACACAAATTAAATGTAGCAGAGTTTACATAGGCAAAAAATCAACTCACAAATCAGGGATCCCCCTGAGCTAAGAGAGGCTCAGAAATGTTTACTTAATAATAGGGCCAGGCAGTTTTTACTGACAGAAAACGGATGTAGTGTACAGAAACAGCTTGATTGGTGATAGCTCAGCATTTGTTTTATTTGGACATGGTGTGATTATGCATTTTTCTTATATTTACATGGTCTGATCAGTTGCCAGCCTGTGATTGGCTGAAGCTCCACTSATGTGATTGGCTGACACTCAGCTATTATAAACTCTCAGCTTGCAGTTTCTAAGTAGGGACTCAGCAGTTTAGGCCAAATTTAATTTAAATTAATAATTCCCCCTTTAAAGTCAGCCTTTCAATTGGAAAAAATTGATCAAAAGCTGTTGTCATCATAATGGGTTTGTTTGATTTCCATATGGATTTAACAATTTTGAATATGAAATCAGCTGAATATTTCTTTTGGGACAATTTTTTTTCTGTATCCTACAATACAGAGATCATTTGATTGGTAGTGTACAGTTGCCTAAGAGCATATTATATCCTTCAGGGGGATGCAAAATAGCAAGAAGATGTTATGTTGACTATCATGAAGATAGCACTAAGAGACTAGATGTTTACTCTTTACCAGGAGCATTCAAAACCTGACCTTTCAAAACAAAATGTTTAAAAAATAAGACAGAAGAAGAACCTTGTTTATGGATTTCTTGCTACTAAGCTTCTATTATACCCARTATATTTATTCAAATGAAATAGGAGGTATTAGATAATATATACTCCTTCCTGTGGAGCTGACAGTTCAATGCAATCATATCATCTCAAACTAGTTTAACAAGAGAAATTAAAGAACTTTGGTCTGCAAATGTACTCTTTGCAATGGAGACAGTTCTACTATTAATTTTGACATGAATTTCTAATCATAGCCTCGTTTAGATTGATTTCAATTAAGGCAAGGAGTATTCTACAAAATGATGCTCACTTCTTAGAGATATGCCTCTACTGGCAAATTCCTATTTATTTTTTAGTCTAGACCAATGTTCATTTCTAGTTGCTTACCAAATAGCAATGATTCTGTTAGAAACTGTAATCAATTTTGACCCCTTATTTACATTTGTTGCTACATGAAGTTGCTCAGGCATAGAGTTGATCATTAAATTCTCTAAAGATGAAACTATATCCTCTAAGAACAAAAGGTTGTTCCCTGTGGGATGCCCTTGTCTTAGGGATTAATAGTAGAAAAGCACAGGTAATATTTGCTTATGGATCCATTATTGAATCATTGCATAATTAGAAACTACTTAAGTGAAGGGATCAGAGTCATAAATTTTCCTGAAAACTATTGTTCCTTTTAGGTTTCTTACTCAATTTATGACATAATTTAACTGCAAATCCCTCAAATATGTCTTGTCTATTATCATATTATGCAACCTGATAATTTGTATAGTTAATCTAAAAATCTGGCCCTGTAGGAAGGGACCTGATGATGGACTTGGAACATCATTGAAATTTGTTACACACATTCTAATTTTCAGCTGTTTCTTGTAGAGAGAATCCATTAACAAATCYTACTTATTGCATTATTTTGACATATATAAACTGGAAGGAAATATGGGAAAAAGAGGACAAGGGAAGAGAGAAGTCTGGACCTGTCATCTCTGGAAAGCTTTCCATGTCTAGGATTCTATGTGCTTCTGAAGAGAAACATCCATGGTCAGTTTTACTTTGAGGTCTACAATGAGTGTACAATAGGGGACCTCTTGAATTGAGTGAGATAGCTACGAGACTGGTGGCTGTGAAATGTTGATGCAGAGAAGAATCGAGTGTCATCCTTTCCAATGGAGTTCATGGGTAGTTCTTATGTCATTTTGAAACACCTAATCTCCCAAGTTCTAGATCATGAAGTGTGTGGTTTTCAACAGTTGTTTGGTGACAAAGGGCATCTTTTACCTGGTGAAAATAGGCTTAAGGAATGACAGGGTTGAAATCATATCCTTGCAATCAGCAGTCCTGTTAGAGTCCTGTTAAGAGTAGGAGGAGACACATGGGGTCCTGTTATTAGGCACATAAACCTTCCCTTAACTTTTTTTTKSGGGGGGGGTACCAGGGAATGAACTCAAGGAATGAACTCGACCACTGAGCCACCAGTCTTATTTTGTATTTTAAGGTCTCACTGAGTTGCTTAGAACCTCACTTTTTCCAAGGCTAGCTTTGAACTCACGATCCTCCTACCTACTAGAATTATAGGCTTGTGACACCATGCCCGACCATAACTATTTTCATAGGGRTCAGTCTGTGTTTTCTATGGGAGATAGATCTGATTGCCTTCCAGGCTAACAATAATATCATTGGCTAGGACAACTCAGTCAATTCAGTTAGCTTTGCATTGGTAGTGTTGTGTTTATAAGTACTTAGTTGACTCCTTTACAACATGTCCAATGAAACAAATATCTTTAGCAATGGAGACTTCTCCAGGAATTTCCCAGAAATGAAACATATTTTCTAATAAAGTTTTTGTTACTCTTATATCATCAGCCTTCCTGTGAGGGAAAGTTTCTGTCAAAGCAGAAGACAAACACTGAAGTTGGTAATTGAGTGTAATCCATCTGTACATATTCAAATGACCCCACAAGTATAGGAAATGCATCACCTGTACTGTCTTACTGTACTTAGTTTTATATATCAAACATCAGTCACTCTACCAGTATTATTTTTATAATTTGAATGATTTTATTTACTCTATGATAAATCATAGACAGTAGTTTCAGAGTATTTTTTCCATGTTGATACCTAGCCTCATTTGCTGGAAAGACTATTCCTTTTCATATTGGTTTAGTTTGGCATATTTATTGAGAAGTAATTGATCATATTTGGTTCATATTTTTATAATTGCACTTCCTGAGAGTAGAAGGCAACAATGGGGCTTACCAGGGTTGGTCAGAAAGAAGAAAGAGTTGGGAGGAAAGGATGGGCACAGGGCTTATTGGGTTTTTCATGGAGAAGACAAGGCAAGGAAGGAAGGGTACCTGATTTAGGACTAGCTAGCTTGAATAGTAATGCTGGTGTTCTCTGACCTACAGAGTTGGTACCTAGTTGTCAATGTCTGTCTCCAGTGTTGTTATGAATTGGAAATATTGGCTTGCTGCATAAGAGTTAGATAAAAGTAGTGATTGGCATTATGGGTTATGGACTGGTTTATTTGCATGTGAAAGGCTTTCTTACAGGTAAATTGTTCACTATCTGAAGGAATTTCAATTAGCTATTCCTAGGAGGGACCATTTCTCAACACCAGCAAGGCCCCTAAGATGTAAAAGCATAATTAAATACAGATAATAGAAAATATGATTAATATACATGCATGGCTATAATACTATAATACTTTTACTTTATAAATGTTCAACTTTTTAAAATTCTTTGACTCTTTAATAACAGCTTTAAAAACAAGGGAATTTTAAGCTCTCCAAAATACTTTCTTTCTGTCCTTTTTCTTTAATCTTTTATTTTATTTAAGTTCTTCCATTGTAACTGTAACTATATTTTGATCAAAAACTAAGAAACACCCACATTGACTAGCCTCAGCCTGTACAGGGTCAGGATTATCAATAACACTGTCTTTCTTTAGGGGCAATAAGTTGTTTGAAGCAAGTTATTCATAATAATACCATCTTCTGAAAATTTCCTGAAATCTCTGAGACTGTTTTATAGATAAATTTTCTTTTATTAGAAGGAGAACACTATGATAAAAATCATAGCATAGTAAATATACAAACCAGAAACATGGCTATTTATTATTTTTGTGAAGTGTTATGTACTGTACATAACTGTGTGTGATAACTTTATGTAATTGGCAGCTCAGTAGTCTTGCTTATACAGAATTGTCACTTATGCCAGAATTGTTACAAAGTAATGTGTTACACGATTAAGTTATAATGGTTATGTTACTAGGCAAAATGAATCTTATCTCCATTCATTTATAGGACTATTTCTTTTTTTAAATTTTATTTTTACTTGTAGGCGAACACAAGAATCTTTATTTTTAGGTGGTGCTGAGGATAGAACCCAGTACTTCACATGTGCTAGGCACGTGCTGTATTGCTGGGCCATAACCCCAGTCCAGGACCACATGTTTTATATGGTCTGGCCTYGACAGAGTGTAGGATTATATTATTACAAAACTGTTTCTAGATTACTGAGAATTTATTATGTAGCATATGGTCATGATGAATGTAAACAAAATTGTATAATAATCAAGAATCTCTGTGCTTTGTGTTTAATTATAGGCATGCAAATATACAAAGTGCTGTAATGCCGAAAGTTGTACTTTTGCTAAACCTAATTTGGAATGTGGCAGTGGACCATGCTGTAATCCAAGCTCTTGTACCGTAAGGTTTCAAATGTTTCATTATCTTCCATCATGATTTTTTTTGTGTTCTTATGTATCCCTTCCCTTTTTTAGCTTCTTTGAATCACATCTTTCAAGTAATTTATATTCTATCCTGTGAGCTCTTTTTGGATCAAGTTATTACTCACATATAAATAATGATTTTGCATCCTTAGAATGTGTTTGTACAGGACACATTTTATTCCACTGAGGAGTAGATAGTAGATATTTTATGTTGTTTTTGTCATTTTGTTTGTTTCAAGTTCATTAGTGACTCCTGTTGGTAACCAAGAGAAACCCAATCACACATGATTAATTACAGACTGACAGGATGCCCTTAAGGCTCAACTTTCTTAACTGCAGTTTTTACTGAGCCCATATGGAAGTCCCATTCAGTTCACATACAATACTAATTCTATATTATTTGGATGTTGTGACTTTCTTTGGGTCATGCCTGAATATAACTCTTCATGACTAAATGATTGATGTCACATTTTGAATAAACCATCTTAACCACACACAGTTGACATGCAGTGTTTCAAGAAACAGGCAACAATAATAACAACTCTTATTTTGAAAAAAAAATTGCAGAAAAAGAATCAGTGCAGAAAAGTCAGCAGTATGTACTATATAAAATACTGAAATAGCTTTGGTAAAGTTTTCTTTTTCCACTCTGTGGACTAGTGAGTAAAGCCAACAGCTATTTATTTATAAGGTGCATGAATGCCAAAGACAGACCTAAGGTTTCTACTTTTTAGACCCTGCTGCTTTTCCATTCACCAGAGCCCTTGGATTGGCTTTTGTCTTCTGAGAAGTCTATTGCCATCTGCCTACATCCTAAAGGAATGGAGATAATTGCTCCTTTTGGTAAATGAAAATTCACAGCCCAAATTGCTAGGCAGGGCCTCAGTAACAATAACTGAATGCATTAGATGTGTTCATATTAATTTTTTTGTACATTGTAAAATTTGACTTTTGCTGCCATCCAAAAGCTCACACATGTTTTATACTCTGTCATTAGTGAAGAAGGCTTCATATTTTGTCTTCTTTCAAAAAGCAGTGTCTTTTCTTTTAAGATGGACACAATATGTTTATTTTATATTTTTTTATGTAGTGCTGAGGATTGAACCCAGTGCCTTACAACATGCTAGGCAATTGCTCTACCACTGAGCCACAACCCCAGCCCCCAAGTGTCTTCTTTTCAGAATAGATTCTTTTTAGTTATACACAACAGTAGGATTCATTACTACCAATGAGATTCGACCCAATTTTTTTCTTATAAATTTTCAACTTAGACACAACTTCATACAAATACATGAAAGAAAATAGTTGAACCAACTGATTTCTAACAATAATGAGTGAATTTCTGATCAGAACTTCAATTACTATAGGTAATTAAAATTAATTAGTATCACATTAGAATAATTATTATTGGTCAGTTTAGTCTTGACAATGAATAGTCAAAGAAAAACAAATATTTCAGAAGCTTAAGTAGAATTTGTTTAAGTGTATGCTCAGATGAGTCTTTCTTCAAACATTAACAAGAATTTTACTCTCTGTTTTGGATATCTTTGCTTTTCTGCTAGAAAATCTCAAAGAAGCCTTCCCCACATATGTTGTATGGTTAGGTTATCACTTCTTACTGTTTTATTTCGTACAGTCTAATATTTCAAAAAAGTATAGAGATTCTGTCTTTCGAAATATCCACAACAATTCTTAGTTTTAAAAGGAAATCCTGATTGAGCCTGACAAATATTTGTCTTTTTCTTTGTCTCAAAGCTGTACGAAAGAGGACATTTGTGTAGGAGAAGTAGAGATGACTGCGATTTTGCGGAATTTTGCAATGGAACATCTGAGTTTTGTATGCCTGATGTGAAAGCTGCTAACTTAGAGCCATGCCATAATTATACTGCTTATTGTCTTTATGGGCTTTGCCGAGATCCGAGTAGACAGTGTAAGGACATATTTGGAAGATGTAATTATCACCTTTTTTTTTCTGGGTTTCATTTTTAAAATGCAGTTAAGTTAAAATCAGTAATCCATCCTATGGCCGTATTAGAAAATGTTGTTTTACATTTACATAGGAAAGTAAACTTGTAAACCATCGTAACTTTGATCTATGTCAAAAGGTAGAATTGGCCTACTAACTATAGAACAGATATTTATCAAGTTTCAAGTGATTGGAGGAATAGGAGTAGACTATTAGAATATGACTTCAAAGAGAAAATGACTGGTTTCTTAATAATATCTGGACTGTATTAAAGATTTTCACATTCGGGACAACCTGTAGTTATTGTCTGGTTTCCTCGTATTACATGGTAAAAGGAATCAATATTTCATAGTAGATGGGTGGGCATTGTTGTCTACGTGTCTCTTTATTGACTGCAAGCACTTGTAACAATTTTAATGAACTTTTAAATATGAGTAATTGAAAATTCATATTTTTTTCAGATGCCTTAAATGCTCCTTATATATGTATTGAAGAAGTAAATTTTCAAAATGATAAATTTGGAAACTGTGGAAGAAGTTGTAATTTTGGGTAAGCACTTAGGAAATCATACATTTTCCATGTATATATACTGTGTATATACAGCAAAGTGTCATGTGATAGAAATGAGAGATGAATGTGCACTTTGTTCTGCTTCATAAGATGGTTTAGTTTTGGTGTTATGATCTGTATAATTCTTTATCTTCTATTTTGAATTGTTATTTTCCAAGTATATTAGAAAACTAACTTACAGACAGGTAACTTTTATGTTTCATATTGCCAGGTTTATCCTTTGTGGAAAAGTAGTTTGTAGCTATGGACATACAGAAATAGCAGATATGAAAGATTATGATTTTCAGTATACGTACCTTGCAGGCCATGTATGCGTGTCTGCACATTTAAGAAATTCTTCAAGACCTGATGATACATATGCACATACTGCCAATCCTTGTGATGAAGATAGGGTAAGTACAATTTTACTTGATATTACTTATGGTGTAATTGTTTGTGAATGTGTGAATTTGTGTTCATAAGTGCATGTGTGTATGAATATTTGTGACAGAGCTTATTTTTTAAAATTTATAATCAATGCTAATACTTTTGGATACTGCATCATATCCCTTTAGTGAAAAGATCAAAATTTGTTTGTCAGAGGAAACTTTTGGTTTATTTTTACTGAAATTTTTCAATAAATATTTGAACTTGATTTCTCACACTACTGAATATAAGCCCCCATTCTCAAGCTAAGATGTGATCTGCAGTAATTATGTAATTGACAAACCAAAAGAATGAAATGATACACATAAAGATGGCACAACAAAAATGCCACAAAAATGACAGCTTCTCAGAACAACCTGAATTATGAGAACATTAAAGAGAAATTTAAAAGGTTAAGTATTTCCTCTGGTAGTGATTGTCAAGGAGAATTAATTTGGTTACAAGTAAAGTAAAATATTTATGTTGCTTATTAACCTATACTCCTAAAATTTCCTCTAAAACATAATATTCCTGTTAAAAATTCTTTCCTCCATAAAACACAATAATAAAAAATTGAATTTTAAGTTATACTTTTCTTTTTTATGTAAATTTTTAAAAATTATATATGACAGAAGAATGGATTGCATTTCTTATTACATATATAGATCACAATTTTTTATAACTCTGGTTGTATACATACATAGTATATTCACACCAATTCGTGTCTTCATACATGTACTTTGGATAGTAATGATCAGCACATTCCACCATTAATTACCCCATACCCCCTTCCTTCCTCTTCAACCTCTGCCCTATCTAGAGTTCAGTCTGTTTCTCCTATGCTCCCCCTCCTTACCCTACTATGAATCAGCCTCCTTATATTAGAGAAAACATTCAGCATTTGGTTTTTTGGGATTGGCTAACTTCACTGAGCATTATCTTCTCTAAGTCCATCCATTTACCTGAAAATGTCATGATTTTATTCTCTCTTATTGCTGAGTAATATTTCATTGTGTATATATGCCACATTGTTTTTATCCATTCATCCACTAAAGGATCTAGGTTGGTTCCACAGGTTAGCTATTGTGAATTATGCTGCTATGAACATTGATGAGGCCATTTTTAAGTCAGCAGGACAAACCAAATCAGGAGGCTATATAAATGTAATGAATCAAATACAATAATTCCCTTCCTTCCTGGTTCATTGGATCAATGCTTCCCTCCTGTGTGTAAACACATTTTCTGAACCACTACTGGTTTGGAGATGCCGAATTCATAATTGACAGCTCAAATAAATTTTTAACATTTGGTGCTTTGATTTATCTTTTAAACAAAGACAATCTTCATACATGTGAGGCACTGGGTTTGATCTTCAGCAAGGCATTAAAAAAAGCAAATGGATAAAATAAAGATATCGTGTCTATCTACAACTAAAAATATTTTAAAAAAATATTCTGTCAGATAACATGAGAAAAGCCAGACATCATCTTAGAACATGCCTCAAAAGACTAAGTTTTAGTAGAAGACTATTAATATGTTAGGTAGAATATACATTGTAAAATTTGTGGTTAATGAACATTTACCATATGCCAAATGGCTTTTGTTCACTTGTGTGCAGCAAGTTTTTTCACTCTTATGATATGTGAGATGTTTAATAGTATCCCATATGCAAAGATGAATTAATTGATGTCTGGAGAAATTCAGTAACTTTCTCCAGGCCACTCTGCTAATATGAAAGATATAAGTGGAGAAAAAGCAAACATGATGGGAATACTGCTTTTAGCATCAATGCTAAACAATGCCTTAGGTTCTGTGAGTTAAGAAGTTCTTGCACTGAGAAATAGTTCTTTCATAGCCTATGGCTTGAACTTCAGTGTGTAAATTTTATTCTCTCTCTCTCTCTCTCTCTCTCTCTCTTTTTTTTTTTTTTTTTGGTGGTACTGGGGTTTGAATCCAATGTCTTGTGCGTGCTAAGCAAGTACTCTACCAACTGAGCTGTATCCCCAGCCCCATAAATTTTATTCTCTTCAAATATTAAATGAAAGTAAAAACGCTCCTCAAGGGTTTTATGAGCATAGAAAAGAAAAATGCATTAGGTGCAAAGGCAGTTCCTAGTCAAAATATTTAGTAAAAGCTTGTTTTGTTTGTTCTTATACCAATTCATAACAATTAATGTACACCTCTGCTCCATCAAGGGAAAAATGTTTTGTTTTTGCAAATTAATACTTCATAAAGGAATAACACACTATGTTGATATTGACTCCAAGATTGTTTTGAAGCATGAACTATTTTGCATATCACCCCTCCAATATAAGTTTTACAACAAGTGTGATTCCTCAACTCTTGAGTTTACATTTAAAGGTTTTGCTGTTGGTAGTTGCTTCAATATTTTAAGTTTTAACATGTGTTTTAGTCTTGTAATGGCAGGTCATGTGTTCTCGTACATGAACATCCCTATAAAGCACCTTGTAACTCACATGAACAATGCAGAGGACATGGGGTATGTAACAGATTCTCTCTTTTTAAATAAGCTTTTATAGGATAATTATGTTCAGAATTATTTGATGTGGAAATTTATTTTAGAAAATCACAATTAACAAGGAAATTACATTCCATTTTTTTTTTTTTTTTTTTTTTTTTTTTTTTTTTTTTTTTTTTTTTTGGTGGTGGTGCTGGGGATTGAACCCAGGGCCTTGTGCATGTGAAGCAAGCACTCTACCAACTGAGCTACATCCCCAGCCCCAACATTCCATTATTTACACAAATGTACATAATTTATTTTTATAATCAGATTTTTATAGTCCTTATGAGCATATTAAACTTTGAATTTGTGAGGTAATGTGAGAAACATCGTGACAATGCTTAATTAAGATGATGGAAATTTAGAACTGGATTTATTAAGCATTACACATACATTATACATTTATATTTTTAAATTGAATGGGCATGTACTTCATATATTTATAAATACACAAAGTATTTTTAATATTCACGTTGCTTATCATCTAATAACATTATGAAATTATTTCTTTTCCATTGACATTCATTTCATSTTTTGACAACTTCAATTTATTTCATTTATGGATCTTTTCTTCTACTCTCTTCAAAGATTCATATATTGATGGGCTTCCAAATAATATTAACTTTTAACTTCTGCAAATAGTGGTAAAAATAGACATTGTTGTGCATTTTGCTTTGCACATTTATCTGATTTCTTCAAATTATTAGCATTGAAATATAATGGGCAAAACTTATGTAAAATTTAAATTTTTTCATAAGTGCATATTGGCTTTTAGAAACATTATACCAACTTTTGATCCCAAATATCATGTATGAAAGTATGCATTTCCTCATATTTTTGTTAGACTATTTTATCAGTCTTTTTAATGTCTTCTAACGTGCTGAATCCATCTCTGACTTGCATTTACTTAGTATTCAATGATATAGAGCTTAAAAATTTTGTTGTATCTGAGGTTGATATTTGTATTCATCCATCCATTGTTAAATTAATTGCTAGGTTGTAGAAATTTTCTAAATTTTGTAAGCTTTTCCAAGCTACATTTTGCTTTAGTTTGTGACCAGTGTCTTTATCCATATTGATGCTGTATATAGTCATTCTGCTAAAACAGAACCTGTGTCTCACATCAACATTTTTTCTCAAGTCCCATACATATTCTGTTACACAGAATTTTGTTTCTGTTTCTTATATGGTTTTAATTTAACCTCTTATTTAATTTTTGCATGAGACTATTTCTGAATTCTTCATTCGGCTACTGCTGATTTATTTATTTGCTAATTATATTTATAGATATAATTTTCAATCCTTCATATGAATATTGGCATTTGTAATTGACTAAATTATTTCTCCTTTTGTTTTTCTTCCAACATTCATAGACATTGTCTCTTATCACAGTTCATTTTACAATGCATGGCATAGATTAATAATAAATTTATCTTCATTTTATTCTTTCTAGCTTCATTGTCTCTATTTTTTTCTAAAATAATGCATTTTAATTTATGTCAATACAAAGGGGAATAAAGGTAAGGGAAGAAGGATAGGAATAGAGAAGCAGTAGAATGAATCTGATATAACTTTCCTACATACATCTATGAATACCACAGTGAATCTCAACATTGTGTGCATTCACCAGACTGGGATCCTAATTAGAATATGATACATTCCATGTTTGTATAAATATGTCAAAATAGACTCTACTGTCATGTATGACTAAAAATTACAAACATTTTTAAAAGAATGTTATGTAATTATATTTTAAAATATGAAAAACAATAACTATATTTAAAAGGATGTTTCATGCCACTTTTATTAAATTTATTATGGTGTACTTGGTCTACACAAAAAATGAATTAATTTTTATATTGTATATAAAAAGTTCTTAGTTTTTTTTTGGTTTTGGTTTTAGATTTGCAATAGTAAATTACATTGTCACTGTGACGCAGGATATGCTCCACCAGATTGTGAAGAAATGCTGTCATCACCAGGAGGGAGCTTCGATGATGGATTTTGGGTTCCATCAGGTTAGTCTCCAGATCATTTTTTTCTAATAGAGCTTGTGGTCCCATAGAAATGGTCTATATAATTTTTTTGTTCTTTATGACTATTAAGCACCTGACAAGTGGGTAATACAACCAAGGAATTGAGATTTCCATTTTTATTTTATCTTTTTAAATAGCGATGGATGGCTATTTTGTAACCACACTTTAAATTTTAACCTAGAAGAAAGCATTTTAGGAGTTCTCGACTAAATTTTAATCATGATTGTTTGAACATGTTTATTTATATAGCAAATGTTTTTCATAGACATATATTTAAATTATATGAATGATGATATTTACAGTCTGTATTATCCAAGAGTGTCCTATGTTGTGATGTCCTATTTCACAATCAAGTTGCAAGTTTAAGTGTAGCATTGAATAGGAAAAATATCCATTTCTTCCATATCCAAAGCATATGATAGTAGGCACTAAATATTTGATTCCATTAAATCTAGTTTGTGTTTTATTAAAATTTTATGTTATATCCATTAATGTGTGCCTTAATCTGTACTATTTTTATTGCTCTAATTTCTCAGACCAGTTTCTGGAGATGAAAATCTTATTCTCCCTGATTTTAATTTTTTTCAATTTTTATGTAWTTAAGACTATAAATTTCCTTATGAATTATATATGTAAAACTACATATACCCAGTAACAAAAATTTGATATGGCATATCAAATTTAACATAGTACTATTCTTTGACAATGTCAGGATTTTAATAATTTTTATGGCTGAATAGTATCCCATCATGTTTATATAAATACATAAGAAAAGAAAATTATGTATATTTATATTATTAAATTATTATATTATTAAATCAGCTGTTATAACACCAATACATTGTAAAAAACATAACAACTAAATAAACTGGAATTAATAATAATTAAAAGTTGTTGTGAATAAAAAGACACCTTCAAAGTGAAAAGAAAATCCACAGAAACTATTTTCAAATCATTATCTGTTGAGGTAGAGAGTATGAAAAGAAAACCTACAACACAACACCACAATAAGAAAAATGGCCAAAGAACTCAAGTGGGAATTTTTCCAAAGCTGTTGAGATGGCCAGTTGTACATGAAAAGATGCTCAATATAAATAATCCTTAAAGAAAATGCAGTCAAAACTATAATTACATATTAAATCATACTATTAGAAATGGCTACTATGGAAATGTTTAGAAAATATCAAATTTTGGACAGGATATAGAATATGGGAACTCTTATGCATTGATGGTTTGATTTTTATTTATCCTTGAAAGCACTGAAATTTTAACAATGGTCCCAATATGGATACAAAATACTTTTTAAAAAACACTATAACAGATCAAGTATTATATTATTCTGCTTCAAGTAGTCAAAGATGAATTCTGATTGCCAGAGGTTAGGGGAAAGGTAAGTGTTAATATTTTAGATGGTTTCAGTTTGGCAGTGGGATGGTATTATTGATGGTGGCACAAAAATGTGAATGTACTTAATGTGACCTTTAAAATATTTGAAATTCTAAATTTTATGCATTTCATATTTTATTTTAATATAAATTAATTTAGGCAGATTTCARTTATTATATATCAAAATAATATAATGTGTTGAGATAATCTTAAGAAATGTGACATGCACTGAAATTTAAAAATTTATTGTTGAAGGTAATTAAAGATATATGTAAAATATATATAAATATATCACATTCATTTAATGTTAAATTCAACATTGTTAACACAGAAATGCTTTGCCCATGGATTTGACACTATTCTTAGTAGACCCAGCTGAAATTTTATATTTTCTTTACTTTCTTTTTCTCTTCTCCCCTAATCTATGTGTGTATGTATGTTTGTGTGTGTGGTTAAGTTACTCCTTTCATGATTTATTCTGGGGCACTTAATTCATTTACATTTTCTATTACAATACTAATGGGCTGATTACCTGATTTTTAATTTTATATTTTGATTTTCTGGGGGTTTTGTTTGTTTTTTCATTACTGGGTWTTGAACTCAGTGCTGCTCTACCACTGAGCTACATTCTCAACCCTTTTTTGTATTTTTTTAAAATTTTGAGACAGGGTTTCATTAATTTGTCAAGCAAGACTGGCCTTGAATTTGAAATCCTCCTGCCTAAACATCCCAAGTCATTGGCATTAAAGGCATACACCACTACATATAGTTTATTTTCGTTTTCAGGCTTCATTCTTTTGTTTAATAAAAATAAGTTTCCATTGGTTTTATTTTTCTCTCTTTTACTTCTTCTTTGCTCTGTCTTGTAAACTGAAGAAACTTCTATTAAACAATAGTAAATTTAGTGTCATAATTAGCAGTTAGAAGAAATTATGAGTAACATTGCATATATAAATTTAAGTATATGTAAAAAATTATAAATGCATGTGAAATATATATTATCAATGACTTTTTTGTCAATTACATCTAAGTGTATTGAGTTAAAATAAATGTATAATGTATTTTGAAACAGACAATATTATTAAACTTCTAAATTYAAATTCATTAATTCTTTAACCATATCATTGGACTTCAACATTTTTTTTTGTAAATATGAACGTAGCTCTTAAAAATGTTAAAAAGTACACTTATATTTTCAGACCAAGCCAAACTTATGCTTTTAAACCAAAAAACTGTTCCTAAGAAAAATGGACTCTTGATCAGTTTCTACATTTTTCTACCTTTCCTCATTATAACTTCCATGGTTGTTCTTAAATGGGATAAAATGAAGGAATTTTTGCATAGAGAAGAAACACTAAGTGGAGGGTAAGTAAACATAGTATTTTTATTTTTTCTTAGCTAATTTGTTATTGATTAATGATAGTTATACATAGCATTGTGATTTATTTTGACGTAATTATAAATTCAGGGAGTAGAACTTGCTCCAATTAAGATCCCCTTACACTCCCCCTCCCCCTGTTCCCTGTCCTCTACTCTAGTGATCTTTCAACTTATTTATAATTTCTTTAAAAAATAGTATATTGTGGATATACATAATAATGAGAGTCACTGTAGTTTATTCATACATGTACATTGGAAAGTTAGGTCAGATTCATTCTGAAGAAACTCTCCTGATTTTTCTTTTATTTTGATGGATCCCCCCACCTTTGTTTTCTGTCTCCCTTTCCCTGCCCCTTAATTTTAGACTAACTTCTACATATCAGAGAAACTGTTCAACACTGGACTGAGTCTGATTTATTTCACTTAGCATTATAGTCTCCAGTTCCATCCATTTATCAGCAAATGACATAATTTCCATTTTTTTCATGGCTTTTTTCATGATCCATTCATCTGTGGAAATGTGGCTACATTGGTTCCCTTGTCTAATATTGTGAATTGTGTTGCTATAAACATTGATTTGACTGCATTCCTAGAGTATGCTGAGTTTTAGGTATTTTGGATATATACTGGGGAGGGGGATTGCTGGGTCATATGGTAGTTTCAATCTTAGTTTTTTGAGGACTATCTACACTGCTTTCCAGAGTGGTTGCACTAATCCACCAGCAATGTATGAGTGTTACCATTTCCCACATCTTTGCCAACACTTATTATGTGTATTCTTGATAATTGCCATTCTGATTGAAGTCAGAAGAAATCTCAGTATAGTTTTGATTTCCATTTCCCTAATTGCTGGAGATGCTGAATATATTTTCATATATTTGTTGACCATTTGCATTTCTTCTTTTGAGAAGTATCTGTTTAGTTCTTTTTATTATAGATGGAGAATGTGCTTTTTGTTGTTTGAGTTTATTGTATTAGTATGGATATTATTCATATATTCTGCATATGAATGCCCTATCTGAGGAGCAGGTGGCAGAGACCCTTTCCCAMTCTGTAGGCTTGCTTCACACTCTTAATTGTTTCCTTTGACATGCAGAAGCTTTTAAGTTTGCTGGCATCCCACCTATTGATTTTTAATTTTATTTCTTGCACTTTAGGTGTCTTGTTAAGGAGGAAATTTCCTGTGCAGATATTATGGCCTCTTAGGCCTATATTTTTTTCTTGTAGTTGAAGAATTTCTGGTTTAATTCTGAGCCTAATTAATCCTGAGTCTAATTAAATTAAATTCCGGTCTAATTAAGCCACTTTGATTTGACTTTTGTGCAGGGTGAGAGATAGAGGTTAAGCTTCATTCTTGTACATATGGATTTCCAGTTTTCCCAGTTTTTAAAAAGACTATCCTTCCTCCAAGGTATGTTTTTTGGCACCTTTGTCTAGTACGAGACGACTGTATTTATGTGGGTTTGTCTCTGTGTCATATATTCCAAACCATTGGTCTTCCTTTCTATTTGTATGCCAGTACTATACATTTTTGTTACTGTTACTCAGTAGTGTAATTTCAGGTCTGGAATCTTCATCTACTCCAATAATTTTTAAATTTGTTCTCTTGGTAATGTCCCAAATTTCTTTTGGTCATAGTCTTTATGGGTTGAAAAAACTGCAGAGATCCTAATTGGTTTCACCCTATATGTAATCTAATTCCATTCTCTCGTGGCTTTTAAGATTCTCTCCTTATTCTTTATGCCAGGAATTTTAATTATAGTGTGCCTTGATGTAGATATGTTGTGATTTTGTACATTTGGTATCCTGTAAGCCTCTTGTATTTGGTTTTCCAATTCAGTCTTCATGTTTTGAAAATTCTCTGACATTATTTCATTGAATAGATTGCTCATTCCTTTGGTTTGGAACTCTATGCCTTCCTCTATCCCAATAACTTGTAAATTTGGTCTTTTGATGTTATCCCATATTTCTTGAGTGCTCTGTTCATGGATTCTTACCATCTTCACTGTGTGATCTACATTCTTTTCGAGATTATGTATTTTTTGTTTATTGTCTGAGGTCCTGTCTTCCAAGTAATCTGTTGGTAATGCTTTCTATTGAGCTTTTAATTTGGTTTATTGTTTGTTTCATTTCAAGGATTTCTGTTTTTTTTTTTCCACAACCTCCAGTTCTTTATCAAAGTAGTCTTCTGCTTCCTGTATTCGCTTATGTAGCTCTTTATCAAAAAGATGTTTTGCTGCCTGTATTTGTTTGTTTATATCGTCTTTTAATTCACAGAACGTTTTAATTATGTACATCATCAACTCCTTCTCTCTGATTTCTTCAGTTGGACTATCCATGGATTCTAATAATGTAGTATCTTGATTTGTTTGGGGCACCTTTTCCCCTTGTTTGTTCATACTGTTTGTGTGACTTTCCTTCTAACACTGAGGATTCATAACATCACTGTTTTTTACACTTTAGGCTTATAGTGCCCCCTGCAAGGTTCCAATACCTCTCCTGCCCAGCTGGTGTTCCAAGCTGGGAGTTTCCACAACTAAAAATGGCAAGCATGGGTCACAAGATGGAGGCAGCTGGTTTCAGCAATGGAGTGTCAGGTTGGGGTAGTGGGGGGTGGGAGGGGGCTGGGGGTGGGAGACCCAGTGGTGGTGTTTGGCAATGTGTTCAGAGATGCAGCTCGGACCCAGTGTGGACTCTGCGGGCATCTGTGGGGCTGTCCTGGGTCTGCCTCTCCATTGAATTTTTAATTTGGTTTTSTGAGTCTTTCATTTCCAGAATATTTGTTTGGTTTTCTTTGAGAATCCCTATCACTTTATTGAAGTGATTTCTTCTTTTCTGAATAAAACTCTAATTGAATCTTGGTTTGGAGTTCATTAGGGTTTGAGACATTTTGAAGATGTTCCTCAGCCTTTTAGTTTTTGATCCCTCCTGCTAAAATGCAGGAGCCACTTCCCTAGTTGCTATGAACCTCTCACCAGCCAGTACTGGTTTGTCAGCCCAAGGTCCTAGAGCTGGCTACTGGGAAAGGTATAGCATTGTGTCTGCTTTTTTTTTTTTTCCTATTGTGTGGTAGAGATCAGGATGTAAGGCTCTGGGTTATTGATGTGGTTCTCCATGTCCCAGCTCCCTTCTACAGAATTCTTTTTAAGGTCATATAGAGCCTGGTTGGCTATCTCTATAAGCACCAGTTTTGTAGTGTGGGCTCTCTGTGGGTGATCTGTGGGGCAGAGGTATTTCTCCTGACACAGCTCACTGTCCTTCCTACTGAGTAGGATGAGTTGGTWCTATCTTCCACTGTCCCAGGTTGGGTATAGTGGGTGCCATTTTCCTTTGCTGACTGTGACTGAGGCAGTACACAACCAGTTTCCCAGCAATGTCTAGAGATTCACCTGTTGCAGTCACAGGTCAGGCTGTGTGCTGTGGCTATTCACTCTCTTGGACCTACACAACTGTTTTGACTGACTTCCCAGTGATTCTGATCTTGGTCCAAACATATTCCTTTTAAGCTTCCTTAGACTCACACATTTTCTAGGCTTGGCTTTCTACTGGTTGTAGCAATGATGTGTGGACAGTCCTTCTATGTTGCTGAATGCCCAGGCCTGAACTGTAGCCATAACCAGGGGGATAGACCTTCTAGATTTCTTAGGACCTCAGGCAATTTCCCATTATTTTTTCCCCCAACTTCAGTARTCACCAAAGGCATGAGTCCTAAGGGTTTTCCTTACTTCTGAGGCCAAAACTACCTTCATGCTTGGATTAGAGCTCTTATTTCCTGCCTTTGGGAATTGTGGGCTACCCGTCTCTGCCCTGGCTCCCACAGGCATTGCTGGGGTACCTGAAGCATTCCTTCCCTCTGGAGTTCTGGGGACACTGTATGGGGCATTCCTTCCCTGTCTAGGTTTTTGTGGGGGAAGTACGGAGGGCCTCCTCCCTGTTTGGGTTCCCAGAACCCTTGGAGGGATGCAACTTTCCTGCCTGGTTTCCATTCATGGCCCAGGGTTTTGCAGAGACTGTATGGAGAACTCCTCCCAGACCGTTTCCGTGGGATCCTCATTCCCTATCCAGATTCTGTGAAGAAACCCTTTCTTGCCTAAGTTCTCACAAATGATTTATAGGGTGACTGGTCACTTGTGTGTTCCACAAAATGGCTGTGGAATTCCACATTGCTTTCTGTTCTCAAATTGTGTTAAATCTGGATTGAGGACAGTATTGTTGCTTCTAATGCGATTAAATATGGTGTGTTCCCCTGCCCCCAAATGTTGATAAGGGGGAGAGATTTGAGTTCTTTCCTGCTCCATCTTTCTCTCTTTCCCTCTCTTTTGTCCCTCCCCTGCTCCCATAGGCGCAGGTTCAGGGTTAGGGAAGTCTCGCTCTTGGTTTCTATGCTGATAATCCATCTTTTAGTCTCTCCAGATGTCAATYTTTGTAATATTGGATATTAGAGCATTTATTTGGTCACCCAACTCTTAGATTTGTTTAGAAYCATTAAATAAGAGGTAAAACACACATGAAAGCTCACTTCACCTTTCTAGCAGTTAAATATCCTTCATGTCCCTGGAGACCCAGAACAATTGAAGCAGCTCAGTAAATCCTCAGTCCCTTTCAGATAGAAAACCATGTTGACCATGATTGTTTTAGGGAGGATCTGTCAAATTTCCAAGCAACACCAAATTCCTTGCATTGACAGTTAAGTTGTGCTAAGGAGATCAATAGAGACAGTTCTGAAARAAATGATAATTTTCGAATTTGAAAATGTTTGTATAAATTATATTTTTCAATATGTATAATATTACAATAGATATATTAATCTGCCATACAGACAAGTTAGAGTAAATAATGGACGGATAGGTTTTTAGTTTGAAATTTTAAAGAAATGCTTTACATCTTCGAAAGTTAGATTAGCATTTGCAAAAGACAAAACTGTAGATGATTGAATGGGATATGAAATGCTAAGACAGTGCTAGTACATATTCATTGACTATTTA